GTTTTCTACGTCTTGGGATCTGCCTCTGCCAGCAAGAAGTGCTTGCAAGCTGTTTCTTAGAGACGCCTCCGGGTTATTTTGGTTTTGTTTGGTTTTTGCATAATGGACACGTTTCCCGTACAGCCACTTTCCAGGTTCTTTGTCAAGTGTCAAGGTAAGCTTTTAGAAAGCTCCTCTGTGGGCCTCAGGGAGGCAATTTCCACCCAACACAGAATCCTTAAGACGGAGAAAAATAACGTTTCAATATCGCTTCAGGGACCATATTTTGTGCATTTAACACTGCTGAATGCAGACAAAAGTCCAGGAAGAAAATTGAGTGTGCGCTCCTGACAATGGGGATTGAACCGGGGAAGTGACGCCAGGTGGGTTACTGCCCCCTGGTGTCCAAAGACGGTGGTGCAGCCATTTGCAGAGTCATTTGTGGAGTTGCTTCCTGAGTTCACTGCCATCATTTCCTGCCCATTTTATTTTGGTGTTTTTTTTTCTTATAGTTATTTTCAGGAACCTTAATGACTTCAGTGTCTTTAAGGCTCATAACATGGTTTTTCTATTGCCAGCTTTCTCTAAATTCCTACAGTCAGGTGAGCAGACTCATGGGCTGGCTTCCCGTCCATTTTAAAAGCCTTTAAGCAGGGATCTGGCAGCTCTCTATAGTCGGCAAGTAAACATGCCAACTGTTTAAAAATCTGGAGATTTTGCTGAAAAATCTAGGCCTGACACATCTTTTGAAAATAATTGGAAAACCTGCCATTTTCTGGACTGCACCCTAGCATAATAAATGTAGGCTAGAGCTGAAAAGCTGCTGCCCACTTTGAATAAGACAGGTGCTTTCACATTCGCCACACTCCCCACCTTTCCCTATTGGCTCACTAATGGTTCTCACATGGCTTCTGGATTTGTTACCATGGCCTAAACTCATTAAAGAGTTTGCACTGGCATCCTAAGAAGGGGTGAAAAACGGATAAAAGTAGATGATTGCCCTAGCTGGTTTTGCTCAGTGGATAGAGCGTCGGCCTGAGGACTGAAGGGTCCTGGGTTCGAGTCCAGGTAAGGGCACATGCCGGGTTGCGGGCTTGACCCCCAGTGGGGAGCATGCAGGAGGCAGCTGATCAATGATTCTCTCTCATCACTGATGTTTCTATCTCCCTCTCCCTTCCTCTCTGAAATCAATAAAAATATATTTAAAAAAATAATAAAAGTAGATGATTATATCACCTTACGCCCAGGAGGAGGGGACATAGGTCCACAAGCCCCATATTACCCAGTTTAGTGAGGATAAGTGACCTGCTCCAGGTCACACAGTAAGTACTGGGCCCTGCGTTTGAACACACACCTGTCTGACCCCAGAGCCTCACTGCTTTCCACTCCACCAACCACTTCCCGTCATTTAGCTGCTTATACAGCAGGCCCTCCTCTGGGAAACAAGTGCAATAGCAGACACTTGTCACTTCGCCCGCACACAAAACCCCAGAGGCTGTCCTGTCATCACATTGTCCCAAACTTGCAAAAAGCAGACTGGGATCAGCGAGGTCAAATCGCTGAATGTACTCAGTTTGCAAGTGGTAAACATGGGGTTTGAACTGAGGGCTGTGTGACTCCAAAGGTGACACCCCGAAGGGAATGTGCGTTGCAGAGGAGGTCAGATCCTGACGGCAGAGCTGAGCTGTAACACCACAGCTAGCTCACCAGCGAGGAGTGTTGTCCCATGGGGGCTGCGATGCCCAGCTGGGGCCGCCTCTGCTAGGCCACCTCACAGCCTGCTGTCCCACAGCTGTGCTGTTTCACCCCGGGGCTGTTTTCACTGCATCGTCTCTCACTTCACCAGGGCCCAAAGTGGAGACTCCTGTTAGCACTGGCACCAACGACCGTCGGTTGACATAACATCTTTTTAAAAATATATATTTTTATTGATTTCAGAGAGGACGGGAAAGGGAGATAGAAACATCAATGATGAGAGAGAATCATGGGTCGGCTGCCTCCTGCACGCCCCCTACTAGGGATTGAGCCAGTAACCCGGGCATGTGCCCTGACCGGGAATTGAACCGTGACCTCCTGGTTCATGGGTCGGCTCTGGAGCACTGAGCCACATCAGCCGGGCTGACGTAACATCTTAATGCTTAGAATTACTGGGCAGGTCCTGGATGTTTCAATATTTGTGAGTTGAGATGGAGGTTTCAGAAAAAATGGAGGTTTCAGCTTCTGCATGAAGGGGAAAAAAATCCTCTGTCTCTCTAGAAAGCAAAACAAGCAGCCAGGCCCTTCTCTGGAGGATCCAAATTTAAAAGTCAGGGAGGACAGGAGAGAGGGTGAGAGAAAGGGGAAAGGCTAATCCTGGTAGCACAAGGTGGAGGATAAGAACTGGGCTGTGAAGTCAGATTAGCAGGGTGGAGAGGTGCAAGTCATCAGCATCCTCATATTACACCTAAGGAAACTGAGGCCAGGGGAGATGCGGGCGGGATTGCGAGTTTCCGAGCTCCCGCGCAGCGTTCTTTGCACCTGCTGCTCGCGCCGTCTCCCAGGTCCCGCCTCTCCTGTTGTTGATTGGCTACGGCGGGCTCAAGAGCTACGCAGAAGCCAGCCAATGAGAGTGGCCCACGGCGAGTCTTTCCCGGGAAGCCGACGTCAACGCGAGAACCCGGAAGTGCGAGGGCCGGACCAGTGAAGGGAGCCAACCCGCGGTGAGGAGCGTGACGGGCCGACCAATGGCGAGTCGGAGAGGGCGGGGCCAGAAGGCCGGCGGCGGAGGAGGTCCTGCGAGTTCGCGCCGCGGAGCCTGAGAACGCCGGGAAGGAGGCGGCGGTGGTGGTCCCTGGCCGAGGTGCGCGGTGAGGCGGGGGCGAGCCCGAGGGCCTTGGAAGGATGGAGTGGGGAAGGGTGCGGCAGGGCCGAGAGCCCTGGGGTGGTGGTAGGAGCGGTGAGCGGTTCGGAAAGGGGCGGCTCCCCAGAATGACCTTAGTGCAGTCCACTTCCCTCTCCGGGCCTCGGTTTCCCCTTCCTGTCGTCGCGGGGGGTGAGGAATGCGCGCCTCCGGGAGCACACAGCCACCTCCTGGCGCTCAGCCGGGTCCCCGGCCAACTGCAGCCCCGCCGAGGAGCCCGTCGCTCGGGGAGCGGGCGCAGACCACCCGGACGAAGCAGGGACCCACGCCGTCTCCGTCCCCCCATTAGAGCGCGTCCCAAGCCATTTCTGATGTCCCATTATGGAGCCAGGTTGCTCCCTTAGACTCACAGCCCGAAGCGACCAGAAACCTAATGAGCCGCCTTCATCGTGGAGGCCCAGCACCGGGAGCAGCCGGGGCAGGTGCACAGGCCCTGGGGGTGGATACGGGAGAGGGGAAGCCCGGCACCTGCGCCCAGACGCACCTGGGCTCGGCTCCCGGAGCCTCGATGTACTCCCTCCCTGCGGGCCTTCTGGGGGTTGGCCTACCCTGCCTGTGGCTTGTTTCCTTCTGTAAAATGGAGCTGGCTAGCTTTCCTCCTCCAGGGACTGAGGCTTGTGGCCTCGTGCGTGGCTAGCGCTCAGCTCTCCATAGTTGCCCAATAAATGCTTATTGTTAGCATCCTGGTGCTTGCATCCCTGCCCCCCTCCCCCCCAACGCCAGCCCCAACCACAAGCCCCTGGCACAGAGGGCCAGGGGTCACTCGCTCTGGCCCTCACCCAGAGTTCTTTTTGAGATGCTTGGCTGCCCAAACTCTAGGCGGGGACCCCACCGTCTCGGGGATACACGCCAGTAAAGGAAGGCAGGCCGGAGAGGGGATTGGCATTGCGGCTGATACCAGGGTAAGGGCGGGAGAGGTGGCGGGCCATTGGGCAGTAAATCAGGCCACCAGCTGTGCTGATCGGAAAAGGATGGACCTCAGAACTGGCTTAGCCAATCTGGATGTGTGTGTGTATACTATTTTTTTTCCTAGACCAGTGGTTCTCAACCTGGGCTGCACATTAGAATCGCCTGGGAATCTTTTTAAAATCCTGATTTCTGGGCCTCATCCTCCGGAAATTCTGTTTCTTCGTTATGGGGTAAGGCCACAACATTAGTAACCAAGAAACAGAATTTCCGGAGGATGAGGCCCAGAAATCAGGATTTTAACAAGATTCCCAGGTGATTCTAATGTGCAGCCCAGGTTGAGAACCACTGTCCTAGATGCTCAGCACAAAAGGATTTGCGATGGAGGGGGGAGACTTTAGAGCCACGGGGTGCTGAGTTCAAGCCCTAAGGCTGCCACTGGCTCACTGGGTGACTTCGGGCAGGAGACACTTGGCCTCTCTGAGCCTGTCTCCTCGTCTGGAGGGGGGGTGACAGTAGCATCAGCTCCTGTTGTGGATGGCAGGGGGGTATGTGTAGGTCCTTTGTGCTTGGTACACAGCAGGTGCTTAATAAATGCTGGGCAACTGCAGCCTTGCTTTCCAGACTGGCCCCTCCCCATTGATACCCACTCCTTGCTTGCCCCCACTCCCTGGTCATAGTGAGTTAAGAAGTGTAGGGTCTCCAAGCCCTCGCGGAGACAGGAACATGTCCTAAACGTATCGGCTCATCTCCTACAACTCTTGGTTCCTTTCAGATCCGGCTCGCTCTCTCCGGCGACTGTGGGTATGTGCAAGGGGCGCACCCCTGAGTCCAGATGACACTCATGCCGATGGCTTCAGTGGTGGCCGTAGCTGAACCAAAATGGGTCCCCATCTGGGGCCGCTTCCTGTGGGTGATGCTGCTGAGCATGGCGCTGGGGTCCCTGCTGGCCCTGCTGCTGCCGCTGGGGGCCATGGAGGAGCAGTGTTTGGCCTTGCTCAAAGGCTTCTCCCTGCTCAGGAGCAGGTTGGACAGGGCCCAGCATGCCGTCAGCAGGTGCACCAGCCCATCCACGGAACTCAGCGTCACCTCCAAGGACGCGGCCCTGCTGGTGGTCAAGGCCACGTCCTCCCCAGGTAAGACAGAGTGGCCGTCTCTTCGGCTCTTGGTTTTTTGGATTGTGCCATATTTTATTTATCTGTTATCATTTATGTTGTTCACACTTTTAAATTATATTTATTGGGGAAACATTGGTAACATAAACTTCAGGTGTACAATGAATGATACGACATCTGTATATTCGGTTGTGTGCTCCCCACCCACAGTCTGGTCTCTCTTTGTCACCATGTATTTGACCCCCTTCACCCTCTTTGTCCTCCCACTGCCCCTTCCCCTTTGGGAACCACCATTCTGTTGTCTGCATGAGTTTTTGTTTGTTCATTTGTTGCTTTTTGTTTTATATCCCCCATATGAGCGAATTTATACAGTTCTTGTCCTTTTCCATCTGATATTCACTTAGCATGATACTCTCAAGATCCCTCCATGCTATGGCAAATGGCAATATTTCATCTCTTTTACGGTTAAGTGTGTATGTATTGTATGTATGTACCATATCTTTACCCATTCATCCGTCAAAGGACACTTGGACTGTTTCCATGTCTTAGCTATTGTGAATAATGCAGCAGTGAACATAGGACTACAAATATCTATGAATAAGTTGTTTTCAAATTTTTTGGGTAGATTCCCAGAAGAGGGATTGCTGGGTCATATGGTAGCTCTATTCATAATTTTTTGAGGACTTTCCGTACTGGTTTCCATAGTGGCGGCACCAGCTTATAGTCCCACCAGCAGGAGAGGGCTCCCTCTCCACACCCTCTACAACTTTTATTTCTTCTTTTTGGTAATAGCCACTGTTAACAGGTGTGAGATGGTATCTCGTAGTTTTGATTTGCGTTTCCCTTATAACTAGTGATGTTGAGCATCCTTTCATGTATCTGTTGGCTCTTATGTCTTCCTTGGAAAGCGTCTATTCAGGTCCTCTGCCCATGTTTTAATCCAGGTGTTTGTTGTTGTTGGATTGTATGAGTTCTTTATATAGTTTGCATGTTAGCCCGGTATTGGGGGTGTGATTTGTAAATATCGTCTCCCATTCGGTTGGTTGCCTTTTGTTTTTGTGGTTTCTTTTGCTGTGCAGCTTTTTGGTTTGCTGCAGTACCTTTCACTTTATTTGATTTTACTTCCCTTACCATTGGGGTCAAGTTCACAGAAACCCCTGAGACCAAGGTCTGTAAGTTTAGTGCCCATATTTTTTGTATATAAGTGGAACCTCTGTTCTCGAACTCAGTTAGTTCCAGAAGGTGCTTGAGAAGCGAGTTGTTCGAAAACCGAATCATTTTTCCCCATTAGAAATAATGTAAATTGAATTGTCTGTTCCAGATCCCCAAATGATTGTTTTACCTTTCTTATACACAGTACATATCTAATGGACTGTTTAATCTGTAAATACTTTTCTTAAATTTATCAAATCACCCCCTACTAGCCTTAAACTATACCACTGCCTCCACAATGCTATTACCACCTGCTTCTCATTTATCCAGTTACCAAGTTTTTCTACCTATTCAATTGCCTGGTGGTTGTTCTGTGAGCACTTTCACACATCAGCCCTGTTGATGGCCTCTTTATGTTTTGAAATTGTGCTAACTGTCCATTTCGCCAGCAACAAAAGCATTCTCTCCTTTGTTGCTTAAGAGATGCTTTTTGTCATGCTGCGGTATCAGCATGGAAGGGTTGTCAGGTAGAAAACCAAGACTTTTTCTGTGAACAACTGGCTGGAAACCAAATTATTCGAGATGAGAGACATTTGAGAACCGAGGTTTGACTGTATTTTATTGTTTCAGGTCTTATATTCAAGTCTTTAATCCACTTTAGTTACGTTTTGTGTATGGTCTCAGATAGCAGTTTCATTCTTTGGCATGTGGCTTTCTAGTCTTCCCAGTGTCATTTATTGAAGAGACTTTCCTTCCCTCCAGTGTATGTTTTGGCTTCTTTTACAAAAATTAGTTGTCCATATATATATAGGGTGTCCCTCCAAAATGCATACACACTTGGCATAATTATAAAGGCAGTGTTTATGAAAACACATTTCATTTTCAAAGTGTAATGGAATCACAAACGTTGTGCGTATATATTTTGGGGGGATACCCTGTATGTGTGGGCTTATTTCTGGACTCTCAATCCCGGCTCCATTGGTCTGTGTTTTCCTGCCAGTGCCATGCTGTGTAGATGACGCCCACTCTGCACTTCTGCCTCATCCCCAAATTGTTGGGATGCAGGGACTTTCATTTCCCAGCTTCCTTTCCCGGGTTCTGCCAGGGTGTCTGGGGCAGGGGAGACAAGTTTGCGGCCTCACAGCTCAGTTCCCCCCACCGCCCCCACCCCGCGGCAGAGGGTGGGCACCACTGTGTTAAGGCTTCCCAGCTACCTCTACCTGGCTTAGCCTAGACGGGCGGCGGGGAAGGGCGATGTTCTTTCCTGGAGGGAACCTGCCCTGCCCCTTACACTGCAGGCTGCACACACTTCTCCATCTCTACCTACCTCACTCGCTGGAGCCACAGTGGACACTGAACTTCGTCTCCGTCCCTGTCCTTCCTCTGTCCCACCTCCCCTACTTCCCATCCTCAGATGTTCCTGTGCGTGGATCTTTTAGGTGCATTTGTGTGTTGAGTGGGTGATCCTTTGTTGAGTTACAGTGGTTTTTTTGTACATTATATGGGAGAAGCAATGGAGTCCTCTCACTCCCCCACGATACTGACATTACTCTCTTCTGAGGCCCAGAAATCAGGATTTTAAAAAGATTCCCAGGTGATTCTAGTGTGCAGCCAAGGTTGAGAGCCACTGGGATAGATGTTTAGTGTCTACCATGTCCTGTGGGCAGGGCACGGGTATTACAGTGAAGAAGTCAGCCCTGGCCTCCCAGCCAGCCTATATAAGCAGACAGGTGACAGGTACAGCGCCACCATGTGGTGATGGGGGAGCGAAGGGGTCACAGGAGCACACCAGGAAGGCTCCCTGGAGGAGGAGGTGCCCAAGCTGAGACCAAGTGTAAGCAGGAGTGACCCAGTGGAAGTTGTGAGGGGAGAGTGCTCCAGCGGAGACCAGAGGGTAGGAGAGCCTGGGCACTTGAGGAACTAAAAGAAGCCCAGTGTGTGTGGCTGATACTGATACTGGGTTTCCGGAGGGTGGGGAGTGGGGCGTTGGGGGACGGTGGAAGGAAGACTAGATGTCAAGCAGGTGTGGCTGAAGATGAAAGGAATGAAAGGGCCCGGGAATGGGGAGGCCTAGGGAGCTAGCACCCGTGGGGAGTTATTCCCAGCCTGGCCTAGCGGCAGGGGCACCATCAGATGGATCACCAGAACAGCCAAGAGCTGGAGAAGATGCAGGGAGAGCCCAGTGATGGGAGTTGTGGCCCCAGGGTCACAGCCACTCAATATGGCAGTTGAAGGCAGGGGGCCAGGTAGTACCTCCTGGGGTGCAGAGAATGGCTCTGGGGACAAATGGAAAACCACCACATCCATACGTGCAGTGGCACTGGGCATGAGCAGCCTGCCTAGAACAACCCCAAGGCTATGTCTTCCCCTGACAGGTCACCTCAGTGTCCTTGGCCACTCCCTGCCCTCCCTGATAATGCTCCTTTGGCTCTTTTCTAGCCGCTCGGTTGGAAGCCAAAGCAGCTCTGCACCAAGCCCTGGAAATGAAACGCCAGGGCAAGCGGAAGAAGGCCCACAAGCTCTTCTTGCACGCCCTGAGCATGGACCCAGACTCGGTGGATGCGCTCACCGAGTTTGGCATCTTCTCCGAAGAGGAAAAGGACATCATCCAGGCAGACTTCTTGTACACCAGAGCGCTGACCATCTCGCCCTACCACGAGAAAGCGCTGGTCAGCCGGGACCGGACGCTGCCGCTGGTGGAGGAGATCGACCAGAGGTACTTCAGCATCATCGACGACAAAGTGAGGAAGGTCATGTCCATCCCCAAGGGCAACTCCGCGCTGCAGAGGGTCATGGAGGAAACGTACTACCATCACATCTACCACACGGTTGCCATCGAGGGCAACACCCTCACCCTCTCGGAAATCAGGCACATCCTGGAGACCCGCTATGCGGTGCCGGGGAAAAGCCTGGAGGAGCAGAACGAGGTCATTGGCATGCACGCGGCAATGAAGTACGTCAACACCACGTTGGTTTCCCGCATGGGGTCCGTCACCATCAGCGACATACTGGAGATCCACAGGCGCGTGCTGGGTTACGTGGATCCCGTGGAAGCCGGCAGGTTTCGGACAACACAGGTCCTTGTGGGACACCACATCCCTCCCCATCCTCAAGATGTGGAAAAGCAGATGCAAGAGTTCATACAGTGGCTCAACTCCGAGGATGCTATGAATCTGCACCCAGTGGAGTTTGCAGCCTTGGCCCATTATAAACTCGTTTACATCCACCCTTTCATTGACGGCAATGGAAGGACCTCACGCCTGCTGATGAACCTCATCCTAATGCAGGCGGGCTACCCACCCATCACCATCCGCAAGGAGCAGAGATCTGAGTACTACCACGTACTGGAGGTCGCCAATGAAGGCGACGTGAGGCCATTCATTCGCTTCATTGCCAAGTGTACAGAGACCACCCTGGACACCCTGCTCTTTGCCACAACAGAGTACCCAGTGGCACTGCCAGAGGCCAAACCCAATCACTCAGGGTTCAAGGAGACGCTACCTGTGAAACCTTAACCCTCTACATCTTCCCTTGGTGACAGAAGGTTTCCAGGGGGAGAAAAAAAAATCAAAACTTAGCATTTCTAGAAACCTTGTCGTCTCCAAAACAAAAGGAAACAGATAAGGAACTTAAACGTTCTTTACCTCCAAATGTTTTTTTTTAGTTAAAGAAAATAACTAAGTTATTAAGCCTTGTCTCTAAGATAACTTATAATTCAGCCAAGTTATTTATTTTCTTCTTTTGAGCCAGTAAATGTGTCTGCCATCTGTGCTGGTGGCCCATTCTTGTGGTGGTCCCAGCAGGCATTGGGGCACCAGGGCTCCTTGCGTGACCAGACCAGTTCTGGAGCAGAATTTGCACTAAGGTAAGGAGAGGCCAGCACTGGGGCGAGGTCCAGAGACACAGGATGAGTCCGCCGGGTCTTCCTCGGAGACTGCCTGGAGGTCAGCACTCCTGGGGAAAACCTGGTCCCAGTTTTGAGAAATGATTGAAAGCTTGCTTGTTTAGAGATGTTTGCTTCCCTACAAAGATTAGTGTTGTGACTAATTCTTACTGGCAGGGCAAACTTCTGAGATACAAAACGAAAGCAGCGAGTGTTGACATTTCTAGTTCGGTACCTTGCTTATTTCAGGGAAGAGCCATAGTTTGCAAACTCTAGTGTCAGGGTGTTTTTCCATATTAAGACTATTTTTCTAATTAATAGGGGAATGGCCACCCTGGTTTTTCTGTTGATGTTTCTCTCACTTCATTTGCAGCAACTCAGACCAGATGTTAGTCTGAAAGTTCCCTGGGCTTTCACCAAACAGCTGAATCCTGCTGCCAACCAGGTATTGTGCAGTCGGGCGAGTCTGCCCTCACCCCCCTGAGTTTAACGTCTTCTATTGGTAGGTGTTAAATCAGATGCCACATCAACACCAAAAAAGCATCTTGATAGTGAATTAGAGCACCAGTTTGTGCTAAACCACAAAAACCCTTTGACCACAGCACTTGTTCACCTGCCCCCACCTCCCACAGCCCCTGTAGGCCCTGCGTCCCCCTGGGGGAAGCAGAATAGATTGCCTTGGAGTGGCCTTACTTGCCTAACAACTATGGTTTATGTCATATGGGCAAGCTGTCATTCTATGAAGTAGAATCTTCTCTTTCAATCACATACGGCCCAGGTGCCAATAAAACTGCTGCTAATTAGTGAGAATGGCCAGAAACCTCTGCTTCCCGTTCCAGGGGCAGAGCCATGATGTCTAACCCGGTGCTGCACTTTGAATGTCAGTGAGAACATAATGTTGTCTGATTTGAGAATTCAGATCCTGGTAGCAATGAGGGCACTGCTCTTATGTAGCAGGTGTTTAGTTTATAGTTATTTAATTGTTTAACAAGCACATTCAGAATGGTTTTCTGGAAAATAAGCATAAAGATGTATGACATGGCCCCAAGGTGATAGTTATTCAGACCTTTATAAAAATATTTTCATACTTGTATGCTGCCATAAGGTATTTCTTAACCTTAAATCTATTGTCTTGATTTTATAAGCTCACCAAGGAAGCCTGATGGAAGTGCTTGCTTTTACTATAGAAATTGGCACTTTAGCTATATGTGAAGGATATTATTTTAACAAATAACTGATTCTAATAAAGTATTTTATTGTATTAAATAAATGCCTGAGACGACTTTGTTCTTTTTCAAGAAATGGTCCCATTTGTCAGAAGGATGCAGGAGGGATTGTGTCAGGACTTCAGCCCTATTCTTTATGAAGTTTAAAGCTGAAGACACATCACAGCTGAAAAGATTTGTAAGTCAAATCCCATAGTCACTTTGACTTAAAAGTTCTACTTACACATCTGTTAGGTAAAGCAAGGTACGCAAATTTCAAAACACGCCCATATTTGCACAGCGGAGTACCATTCTGCGAGAGGTTCTTAAGAGAACTTCAGTTTAATAAACAAAGCTAAATGAGGAAAATTTAAGTCCGCACTTGACATGGTATTTAAATAAAACCCAACGGCTGAAACTCAATATTTAGACAAAGAACAACACAGTCCACTATTCACTAGGCAAAGAAAATGGTCCACAGCAGGTGGCACACAGAATTCCTATAGAAAACAAATGTCAGATATTTTGCTTTGAGGAAACATAAAACAGTGGTTGACATGTCATTTACAAAAACATAATATAAAAACGCACAGCCCCCTAAAACAAAAACCCATCAAATATTTTTTAGGTGATTGGCCCTATCCCCACCCCTTTACTAAAATAGGCCATTCTGGTGAATTACTAGCATTTGCCGTTTTGTCTTTTAAAAATTAAAAGAGTGACGGGCATATGGACTATACAGAGTGTAAGAGAAGTGTCTTATAAGAAGGGGCCTGAGTTGGCTGAAACAGTTGGACAAGTGTGTCTCAAAATGGTGTGTCCAAGTTTCACTCCCATTTCTCTTAAAGACAAAAAATACCTTAGAAACTTTACCTGGTGCCCAGTCATGGAGTGACTGTTTTCCTGCTGTCACCCTCAATGTGAGGGAACATGTGAAGCCTCTCTGCTCGGACACCCGTTCCCTTTCTGTCGACACCAGGGGAAACTGCGCTGCCTTGGGCCCTTCCGTACCCAGGTACAGCTGGGAGATGGTGTCCTCCCGGCCAGCATGAAGTAAGGCATCTCCCTTCTCTGAGTCCCGTTCACTTTCTCAGAAGCAGCTTGGCAAAATCAGCATTGGACATCTTGGGAGCCTCAGTGGCCTCTGAGGTGGTGACCGCTGGCTTCAGGGCAGGGCCATTCTCGGCCTGAGCTCCGGTGGTGCTGGGGCGGTGCAGGGCGCGAGGCAGCAGAGAGAGCTGGGTCCTTCCCTTCCCCCGCCTGGAAGAGCAGACACTGAATGTACCCTTTCCAAGTAATAACTGGTGGCCCCTGGTTGATCTGTAGCTGACCCTGGCCAGCATCTGGTTGTCAGGCTATGTTTAAACACATGGATTCAACTGGCAAAGAGGACTTTAAATAAATCACAATTGGCCAACACCAGGAAGGGCTGCGCTGCAGGGACATGCTCTGGACACCCTGCTCCAGGACTACAGGGGACAGCAGGCCCTAGCTGTCTGTCCTAACAGGAAACCAATCCAGCCGGGTATGACGGGACAAAGCCTGCACTGGCTAACATGCAAACACTTACGCTCCATATATCTGCCGGGGTACGTTGGGGCCACCTGGTCCTTTCCTTGCCTCTGGCTTCTCTGGAACTTTCCTCTGAGGGGGGTTGCTGATGGCCACTTTGATGACATTCTCTTTGATCGTCATGCCATCCATCTTCATGACAGCCTGCGATGCCTGGGATTCATTTTCGTATTCCACGTAGGCCAGGCCCTGAAAGAGGCCACAGCCAGGTCAGGTGCTGGGGGGTCAGATCAGGACAGGTGCCCCATCAGTAGGTGACCGACCCCACCAGTGCCATCCTTCGTCTACAGGTTTATTCCCTGCCCGACTTTCCACTTCTGTAACTGACTGTAACTTCAATAACCTTTGTAAGGTCAGTACCTCTTGTGGTTGCTCCAGCAAAAGAAAGAAAAAGACCGACAGGCCAGTGTAAATCCAGCTTTCGGCTGAGGTGGCCTGGCCCAGGGAGCAGCCCAGGTGGGCCTAATGTCTGTGTGCGCCCTCCTTATTTCTTTTTAACTCCTGATTAACCTGGATGGGGGTGGCGGGGGAGGGGGCAGAGAAGAAAGGTAATACAAACTCATGTTTAAACAACATGGGTCCGCTACTAAAAATGTGGTGCAAAGAGGATTAAGGGGGTGGAGGGAGCTGAGGAAATGGCTGGAGGCCAAGTCCGGGCAGGAAGGAGACTGCAGAGGGCAGCCCCTCACCCCAAGGCCCCACAGTCTGGAATTCGTGTGCTCCTCTGCGAATTCATGCGAGTGTTTTTTAATGCCTTATATTTTTAGTACAACTAGATACAGATTCCAAATGCAAGCAGAGCCTAATGTACCTATCCTTCACGTGTCATTTGTTTCTTAGCAGACAAACTAGGAACCCACTCTAGACCCCAGTGATCTCTGCACAGACGCAGAACTGGCTTCATCCAAGCCTGGAGGGCGGTGTGCTGACCGTCCACTCCGACACTGACCTTCGGTTTGCCAGCCCGGTTGGTAACCAGCCTGATGTCCTTCACGGTGCCATGAGCCTTACAGATCTCTTCGAGTTCCTCTTTAGTGCAGGAAAAGGGTAGGCCCGAGATAAACAGCTTGTGCTTCTCCAGGGCAGTGCTGTACCTGAACACCTAGGAAGGAAGGAGGCAGAAAACCAACAATTAGAAGCCCAGCCCAGCACACTGGCCACTCCGGCAGGCCCAGCCGGGCAGACCAGAGCTGAGGCTGGATGCTGGGAAAGGCTAACTGGGCATGTCACTTACCACTTCCCTCCTCTACAGAATGGCAACAATGAAAGTAGCTATTCTCAGAGTTTGGGTGGGGATCCCCTAAGGCAGTGGCTCTCAGCCTTCCTAATGCTGTGACCCTTTAATACAGTTCCTCATGTTGTGGTGACCCCCAACCATAAAATTATTTTCGTTGCTACTTCATAACTAATTTTGCTACTGTTATAAATTGTAATGTAAATATCTGATATGCAGGATATATTTTCATTGTTACAAATTGAACATAAAGCATAGTAATTACAAAAACAATCTGTAATTATATATTTAATGTGTTTTCCGATGGTCTTAGGCGATCCCTGTGAAAGTGTCATTCGACCCCCAAAGGGGTCGCGACCCACAGGTTGAGAACCGCTGCCCTAAGGTAATACATAAAACATTTAGCACAGTCCCTTGTCACTCCTATGCACTCACTGGACCATCGCCATTATTACAATTCCTCATTTTATGATCATGTATCAGCTAATGCAAGCTCCAAGTGACTGAGCCTGAATCAGATCTTAATTAACCAGCTCAGAACAGTATAGTTATTCCATGTATGTTTGCAATATTAGTTGCTGCACCAAAAAACAATATTTAGTCAGTCTATAGCAACCCTGCATGAAAGCCACTCTTTTTCCCACAAACATACCTTAAAGTCAGGATTTTTGCTCTTATCCACACAAGGGGAAACAAACATTGGCCTCCCCCCTACATTCTTCCGGTCCAACTCCAGCGCCTGCAGGGCCGACTTCTCCTCCTTGAACTCCACGTAGCAGTAGCCTCGGAAATCGCCCCGGTTGCTGAAGATGGGACGGACCTCGGCCACTTCCCCACAGGCCTCAAAGAGCGGCCGCAGCTTCACGTCCGGCTCCTCCATGCTGTAGGGCAGGTTGCTGACAAAGACGGTGACGCTGTCCTTGCTGCTGTCGTGGGGCACCTTGGGCACGTCCCTCTTCAAGGCGGCGGCGGCCCTCTCCTTCTGCTTTGAGGGGGGGGTGACGTCTGCAGATGCGCTTTTCCCAAAGAGCCCCATTTCCTCTTCCAGGTCTGGTGCTGCTTCTGCAGCTGCAGGAACGCTGTTCTCAAGCTTTCTGCGCTTGGAAGGCTGCTCTACAGGTTGTCGGGAGAAGAGCAGCAACAATTAACTTTCCTCCCTTCACTGAGCCGGTCCCTGTACGCCCTCTTCCCACTGCAGACAGCCAGTCGGCAGCAGCGGCACGTGACCAACTCACTCCTCCCCGCTGACCTGCAAGCACCACACCTGCCAGGTCCATCTTGGCCCACAGGCTTGGCCCACCACGCTCTGGACTCTGATGACATGCGGGTGAGGAGGCTGACTCAAGTAGAAACAGTCCTCACTGTCTACTCAGTTATAGAAAAGGTCAAGTGCAGCTGGCCAATCCAAGGCCCCTCTCCCTTAAGGCTCAGGTCAGCAAGCATAAGGCTTGGGGACCTGCGTTTAAACAAGCACTTAGGTGACTCTGAAGTGTGTGCTTCACATGGCCACACTGGAAAGCTCTACAAAGGGTTTACTATTGTCTTGTGTCCTTCAAGAGAGTTAGACAACATTCTACTCCAACCCATCTCCCCACTTTCTCCAGAGGCGCAACACTGAAACCCATTTGGCATTGGACCCCCCACTTCCAGACCCTTCCACCAAGCTCCCACTGCTTCCTGATGAAGTCTAACCCTGCACACTGTATTCAAGAGCATCCCTGAGTGGGGCCCAGCCAGCTGGCCTGCCTGCTGCTGCAGCCTCACCACCCATGCACCTGGCCCCCAGCATGCATCGGGGCACACACCCAGTCATTTGCTGCTCAGAGAGAGTGCCAGGCTGTTTTGTGCCTCGTGCTGACACCAGCTCTGTCTGGCTTCCCTTCTTTCCCACTCAACAGTCACTCACTCCTCCCCGATGCCAAGGTGCACACATCACTCCTGAACTCTTTCTTGCAGGAGCTGACCCACTCATGCCTCCTTTGACTTCCACCATAATTCACATCTAACCTGCCACAGTCCTGACCACACCACCGCAGTCACCTGGCACGTTTGCCTTATCTGCTAAACCAGGAGCTCTGAGGGGCAATGAGCTACTGTGGTCATTTCTGAACGCCCCAAAAAGGTGTGCAAGAGAGGTCAACTGAATGATGGCTCCATTCCCATTTCCCTCTGGCTGACAGCTTTGTACCAGGAAAATGAACAGAGTTCCTTAATGTCTGGAGACAATTCTTTACCTTGACTGACTTTGCTCAAATAAATCTGACCCACACCTGCCCATTCCTGAAGTGGCATGGCTGACAGAAACACCGGTTGAAACTCTACCGACTCAAAACCATAGGTGGGGGCAAGAAGGCAGGTGTCTGTGCAGTGGGCTAGGCCAGTGGTCGGGAAACGGCGGCTCACGAGCCACATGCGGCTCTTTGGCCCCTTGAGTGTGGCCACGAAGTTTCAATTGCACTGTACATGCGCGCCCGCACATGGTATTTTGTGGAAGAGCCACACTCAAGGGGCCGCAGTTTGCCGACCACTGGGCTAGGCAATGGTACAGGATACTGCACCCTGGGCAGGAAGAAGGGGATGTCAACACATGGGACAGGGACAGCTTGGGGTACGGGAGCCCGTGGGGTGAGGATGGCACCACAGAGGGCAGTGGAGGCAACGGCGCAGTGGAGGCAGTAGAGCGCAGGTCCCTTGCAGGGCAGTACCTGGCACAGAGGTAGGCAGAGACAGGAAGGGTGATGGGGTGTCTTGCCAGCACCTGTTCTCAAATGGTTCAAGAAAAAAAGTTCTTCGTACTGTTTTTTGGGTTTTTTTGCAACTTCTCTGGAAGGTGAGTTGTTCCAAAGCAAACTTTCTGAAAAGCTTTACCTTCCTCGTCGCCGCGCCACTCTTTCTCAGCATCCTCATCGGCTTTGCGCTTGTCTGCGCCTCTGGCTGCTTTCTTTTTCAGCGCTTTCTTCTCAGCCCGGGCCCGCTTCCGGTGCTCAGCCTTCTCCTCTTCCTGCTGGGCGAGGGTGGCTTCCTTCTCCGCAGCCTGGAAAAGGGGCAGATGACGCATCACTGGACGGAGCAGTGACATACACTCCACCGCCTTGTAATGAGAATGGACGAAAGGGGCCAGGGAGTGGGATTCATACCCAGTGACAGGACGAGATCATGGAAAATGTGCTCACAACCTTCCCTGCCAGGGCTTTTCCGGCCTCTCAGGATTCCTCTCAAATCCACAGTATTTCTCACAACAGCCCCAGTAATTATTCACCAAGAGAAAGAAAAGAATCTAAGAAACTGGGGCCCTAATTGACTTGGGGGTGTTCATATTCCAACCACTAGGCTAAGAGGCTCTTCCTGTTTTTTCCTCTATTCTAGTAAATTTTAGGGCCAAAATTCCCCTACTACATAAAATAGTATTTACTGCTGGGGCTAAAGTTTAAAGCTGTTCTAAAAAATAACAAAAGACTGGTTTAAATATTGATTCAACTATGTCATAATAAATACTTTCTAAGCAAAAGACACGTTTTAGAAAGACCTCAAAGGTTTGACAAAAAATATCGCAAACACGGTCAAAACAGCGATCAGAGGATCCCAAGACTTCATATAGACAGCATCATTACCTTAATTCTCTGCTCATTAACACGGGCTAATCGAGTTTCCGTTTTCTGGACAGCTATATCCCAATCTTCTAAAGTACCTTGATAGAAAAAGAAGCAAACTTTCCATTTTGGGGTTTGGGAAGCTTTTCTTAATTTCCCCACCCTCAGGAGAGCTCTCCCCTCAGAGAGTCAGCTCCCCATTTCAAGGTGATTTCACTGAAAGTTTTCGAATTCCAATAGTCCTTCCAAGATGGGATTAAAACATCCCTTCATTTTCAGGAGAGACTTGAGAACCAGAATATGACCTATTACGGGTGCTCCCTGGCAAAGATTATGAAAACATTCCAATGTAAAAGGTATAAGACATGACAGTTGAGCATCTCAAATGATAAATGTTGAAATGTTTTGTCATTTGTTGTTGTTTGGATGTTTCATTTCAAGTTCTGAGGGATTCCCACCCAAAATCCAGACCACTGCCCAGGAATACATTGTCTATTTTCCTACTGGACACAATACTGAGGCTCTGAACTTCGCAGGTGATGCACACAGTACTCATTTGCCTCTGCTCCTGTGGCGTGCATGACATGCTGGAGCAGAGGGTCTCAACTGGAGTGATCCTGACCCCAGGGATCAACTGGAGTCATTTTTTATTGTCACGACTGGGGGCAGGGAGGTGTGCTGGCAACTAGTGGGCAGAGAGGCCAGGGATGCTGCTAAAGACGCTAGGATGCACAGGGTCCTACAAAGAATTCTGAGAACCCACGCTAGAACTATACAATGCAGGGCCCTCCTTGGATCTGGAGATCTCAGAGGATTCGATCTCATGGGGAGCGCCCTGTGACAGTCACGCCACTCACGGGGTAGCCGTGCACAGTCTGTCCTTACAGACTCCAAGCCGGAAGCAGAGCCGAGGGTCCTACCTTCTGTCCTCTCCATGGTGAGCAGCACTTCACAGACGTGCTCTGGGTAGTCACTGGTGCACTGGACGGCCCGGTGCAGAGCCTTCCTGCAGTGCTGGGTGTCGCCGTGTGCCCTAGGGCAGACAGCAAACAGGCTGCCACCAGGACAGAAGCAGAAGGCACACGAGGAGGGAGGGGCAGCTTCTCACAGGTTAGAGCCACAGGACCAGCAGCTCCGGCTCCAGCACCCTCCACATAAAGCTCTCCTCTGTACCCCAAGTACAACGTTGTAGCAAAGAAAACACTGTTGGTGTCTGGGTGCAATCTAATCTAGTTTTTTCATGGAACACCATTTTCACTTTCTAATGTGGTAAATATCAGAGTCCTAGATAACTCACATAAACAAAAGCTTGTGGGAGGGAGGCTCCTCAAACTTTTAGAGTGCCAACAGGTTCTAGACCCAAAGTTTGAGAACCTCTGACTTGAAGGAAAATTCAACAAGCTTTAATAGTGTCATCTCTGGGGGTGGGATTATAGGAAACTTTCACTTCTGTGTTCAAGATCTACTGAAGAACAAAGCTGGTCATATTCTTTATGTCCTCCCCATGTTATCAATATTACTGGGCATACCTTAAAGTCATTTTAGAGGTTTGTAACAGGGGCACTACAATTGCATTTTCATTTTTTAGACAGAAAAATCTCGAAGAATATACCCAAACAATTAATAGTGGTTACTACTGGGTCCATAATTGTAAATAATTTGGGTTTTTTCCTTCTGTGCTTTCTAGTATTTTATACTTTTTATACAAAACAGATATAATAAAAATAAATAGCTCCCAAAAAAGTCAAATAAAATATTCATGTCCAAAAATCAAAACAAACCAACCAAAAAAAGAAAAAAACACACCAAAATTTAAAAGAAACACATAGCTTTAACAGCCCAGACACAAAATACTATGTGCTAGGTTCTCTAGCCCGGCCCATTAAAGAAAGAGCGATGAAGGCAGGCAGTGGCCCATTGCAAGGAGCAAGCCCAAGCCAGCCGAGGTCAGCCGGGACTAAAGACAAGTTACTCCTGACAACGCACCGTCACCCCACCCAGTTCGTTACCTTTCCAGGTTGTAATACTCAAGCCACATGTTGGCATACTTGGCGTTTCCTCTGGTCATGATGCTGTCCCAGAGCTCCCGAGCTTTCTGCATGTTATTACACAGTCGAGCCTAAGATGACAAGGCCCAGTTAGGAAAGCACCTGAACCTGATGACACCAACACCCCTTCCAGAAGAGACTGCAGACAGACCTGCCGAAAGAGCCATCCCCTAATGATCACTGACATAAATCCCTGACATTCCCTAGGCCGCCCTCCGTGGTAACAGGCCCAGGCCAACCACGTCAGCCTTTCTGCAGTGACAAGCCTCAAGGTGTCTGCCTAGGCCTCTTGTTGAGAACAAAGAGTGGGAGCCCGTGGGCACCACAGTACCGACTAGCCGCTTTTTATTTTTATCAAACTTAATAACTATAAGGGGTTAATCTGAGAGGCAGTGTCGAGAAGAAAGTTTCATCCAGAAGCAAATGCCAGCCCCCCACTTACTGACTTGGGCAAGTTGCTTCATCTCTCTGAACCTCAGGTGCCTCATCTTGAAGACGGTGACACGAACCCCCACCCACACACTGCCCGGGAGGTGTTTCTTTGGCTGACTCCCTCAGAGAATAAAACACTGGAATCTTACAATTCTCTGAGCTGGCGATCAGGGCAGGTCCATGTCCTACTCCCCTGGGGGTCCTTGGTCCAATAATAACACTCAACTCATGATACCCTGTGACTATTCATCAAATCGCCTGTCTTCCACACTAGATTAAATCTTACCAGTGCAGGAAACTATGTCTACCTCACTTCCCCAGCACCCAGTCAAGTGCCTGGGCAAACAGTGCCCACCTGATACGCTCTCATGAATGAGACACTGGGAAAGGGCGAGAAGTACATGAGTGAATGCCTGGCATTCAGACTTTGCTGCACATCTTCTTCCTGGGAGCTAATATTTTCACTAAGATATAAACAAATGTGCACCAAGCTAGGTAAACAGCACAGGTCTCTACAGAGCCCGACCAGTGGTCGGCAAACTGCGGCTCGTGAGCCACATGCGGCTCTTTGGCCCCTTGAGTGTGGCTCTTCCACAAAATACCATGTGCAGGTGCGCACGTACAGTGCGATTGAAACTTCGTGGCCCATGCGCAGAAGTCGTATTTTGTGGAAGAGCCACACTCAAGGGGCGAAAGAGCCGCATGTGGCTCGTGAGCCGCAGTTTGCCAACCACTGGCCTAGACCATCAGCTGGGATTCTGACTCAAATTCAGCCACACTAGTAGACAAAGGCCCTTCAAAGGCAGAGGAAACCGACAGATTTGACAAAAAACATTTACCTCGATCCTGGCCCAGTTCTGCATGATCATGCAGCTTGGATCCCCACTCTCATTGAAACCTTTAAAAATAGAAGTCATCAAAATCAGAAAGTAATTTAAAGACCAAGAGCCTTTGCCTGAAAAGGCACCTCAACCCAGAGCAAGAAACACAACGGGACGAGCAGGGGGCCGGAGCCACACTTACGTTCCTCCACCTCCTGTCTCAGAAACTCCAAAGCACGAGTGAAGGCGGACCGCAACTCTTCCAGCTCTTTACTGGAGTCTGGAAGCAAGAGGGCTGCTTAATGAAACCCCGTACCACGCCTTCTTCTTATCGCACACCGAAACGCCCACGGGCCTGTTTATGCGCCTGGCACCGTGCTGGGGACACAAAAGTGAAACTGCCAGCCCCTGCCCTCACCACACGGTGGGAAAGAGACTGGAGCAGAGCTCAGCACGGGCAGTACACTGACAACAGTGAGCACAGGGTGCCGTGTGGGGTCCCCCCAGCCAGCAGAATGGCTGAAGGTCACATGCAAGAACAAGTTAGACGGGGTTCTGGCTGCTATTCTTTTTGAGGGGAAAGAGAAAGAAAAGGGAGTCCTGCAGAGGTTTAAAGATTTAATAGAAACACAGCAGTCTTACTTAGAGAACTATTTCGAACATACAGGAGGGAGGGAAGAGAAAAATACAAAATGAGACAGAAGCTAGCAGAAGCCAGCATAAAACCCAAGGACCATTACTCCCTTCCTTTACAATCCACAGCATGACTTGTTCAAGACTTAAACCGCTAAAGCTTTTTTTTTTTTTGCGGGGGGGGGGAGGGCGGGGGGTACCAATGGCTGGTCTATAACATTTGCCCAATCACAATGTACTTGGGCAACTAGAACATTTCACCAAAAGATATGTTAAGAAAAAGCAGTTCTGGTATAAAGCACAGGAACTTAAATACCTTGTTTGAAATCAACCCTTCTCCTCAGGTAATCAAGGTATGCTTGCCAAATCTCCACATAGTCAGTGGCCTGAATGAAGCCAGCACTCAAAGCTTTCTCGAAGGTCACTGGAGGTGAAGAAAAAGACAGGGTTTGTGGCCAATGAAAAAAGAAACAAATGTACAGTTATCAAGATTATTATAAAAACCTTTACTGACTATAAAATACTATATGATTCAACGTCACAATAAGATGCAATGAGCTAGAAAGACATGTTCAAGAGGACAGCTACTGCGGCAAGGCACACGCTGTGTTCTAGAAAAGGCAGTAAGAGTTCCAGGTCAAGTAAGTTTGGAGAAAAGGCTCCTGGAAGATCACAATAAACATCAGCATGTTAAAAAGCTCTAAGAAGTCAGAAATACAACCAGTTTACCTCCCACTTAGAGCCCTTTTTGTCACTACTACCCACTCTCCCAAGAACACCCTGGGAAATGCTGACTCAGTGGCGTCCTCAGAACCCTAGCTCTGACTTGGTACAAGAAGTTTTGAAGGCTTCCAAGAGAAACATTCGCACCAGAAATCACGTGATGGTCAGCTCCGTGTCTTTCCATGGCCAAGAGGTACCGGCTCCACAGGGCAACTGTCCAGGGGCAGTTTCTAACAGCACGATTATGTACAGATAAAACCAAGTCCTTTACTTTCAGCTGCCGGTCCTATGACAAAGAATTCTAGGGTTAGGAGATAAAAATTTATGGTTTAAAGTTCACCATCCACGAGACATTTCCAGAACCACCAACTGACAGACGGAATTTCCTTAGGAATGTCTCTCGTGACTGATTTCTTCAACAAAGAAATCACAAAAGGAGTGAGAGAGAAGAGAGGTGGAGTGGGCAACCTACGGATTAAATGTCCGATCATAATGTAGAGACCAAGTTTGGACCCTGATTCAAATCTGTTATACGCACATACTGAAATATTTACCAAGGAAATGTGATTTCTGGATTTAATATAAAACAACATGGAATGGGGAACGTAGGTAAGGTTATAGATGAAACTACATTAATGCCATTAGGTCATTGTTGAATCTGGTGATGGGTACATAAGGTTGCATTTCACTAATCTGTCTACATTTATGTGATTACATTTTTCCATAATAAAAGGTTAAAAAATTTTTTTAATTTAATCTGTTATAAAGTTTTTAATAGTAAGACTATGTAATCCTAAAACACTCGGAGAACTTCCTAAGTGACCTGACAAACGGAAGGAGGATGAAGGATAAATTAGGAGAACAGAGATGGGCAGCATACAACTAACTCTGAGCACTCTTATTGGTTTTCTTTAGACAGATCCCAAATTGGTAAAAGTAAAATGAAATCAGAATAGTTATCTTACTAGGTACTGACTGTAACGGATCCATAAGTCTGGAACCAGGCAGTTCTCAACCAGGGCACGCTCAAAGATCAACTGAATGCGAGCAGGATCGCCGATTTTCATCTCAAAATCGATGTATGCTTGATATTCGGCCAGCCTGGGAGCCTCTGCTTCCAACTGGACAAAGGAGAACAGCAAAGAAATTGAAATGAGCTGCTCGATACTGTCAGGAAGCACAACACATCTTCATAGTCAACTCTGCTGAGACTGGCTACTCCAAGAACCACCAATCCCCGCTCAGAACCTCTGCACATCAGGGCCCACAAAAGTGCCCCGTCACTCACTGCATTAGCTACAAAAGCTCCTCAAACCCTTTTCTAAATCCATCCCTGGACTACTGGGAATTTAAATCAGGAACTGAATGAAGGAGAAGCACCCTCGCCAATGACCAATGCAAGCCATCCTTCCAAAACAGAAGTTATTTCCATGGCCTACTGAGTGGAGGAGAGAAAGCAGCCACACTAGAGTAATCCGGTGCCTTGTGCTAGTTCAGGTTTCTCATTCCAAATACCAGCTCCTGCCAAGTACAGGCACATGCAGAAGCTGGAAGAGGTATGCTGAATGTTTATTGATCCAAAGACGTACAATCAAAATCTTTTTGAACAAAACCCTCTTATTCAACTTTTCTTTTCAGCCACACTCTGCTGATAGTCGAAACAAAACTGAACTGGCTGAGGCTGTCATTAATGAGGCTTTGTGAAATAAATTACATAAAATCATTTACAGGTAAGAGAGAGAGGGAGCACATGCAGACCAGCGAGAGAGCACACATGTTCTAAACATAGAAAGAAGCTGTCTTAGAGCTGCAGTTCCTAGTATACATGACAAACTAGTGACCCTGACACACTGTGCCATTGAAAACTACTAACACTGCTGGACTAAATATAAAAAGCATCCTGAAAATCACCAACAAACTCGTAAAGAAATACTAAGGACAAGGTCTACGTGAAAGTGGTTAAGTGAAGGTTAAGTGTTTGCTGGCCTAAGATATATTAAGACTTTGATCTTCACAGCAATCCTATGAGGCAGGTATCATTACTACCCCCATATTATTCAAGGCAAATGAAACACAAGGAGGCTAAGTACAAGCCCAAAATCAGAGCTACTAAGCGGCAGAGCTAAAATTCAAACTGGAGGTGGCCTGGCTCTCAGTATCTGTATTCTTTAGGCCACGAGAGAGACCAAAATCAAAGCCAAGGAGCCCCACAAACCACAAGCAGGATAAATACAAAGATACCCACACCTGGGCCTACGGTCATGAAATTGTAGGGCATCACACAAATCAGAGAGCTAGCAAAACCAACCAGAGGAAAAATAAGAGCTACCTTCAAAGAAGCAAGAGTTAGACAGACAGCTGACGTGTCATCAACAGAAGCCAAAGGCAGAAAGGTATCTTTAATTGCTGAGAGAACACAACTGTCAGTCTAGAATTCTATATCCTGAGAAATGAACTTTCAAGGAGAGCAACAAAGTTAAACTTTTTCAAACAAAAACCAAGAAAATCTGGAAAATCTGTTATGAGCAAATGTCCAGTGTGGGAGCTTAAAGGAGAGACGTCAGGCAACAGAAAAGTGATTCCAGATGGAAAACCTAGGACGCAGGGAGGAAGAGGACAGAACGCGGGACATGCATGCAGTAAATGTAAACAAACTAGACTGTATGATGCAAAATTAACAATGATGCCTGTAGATCAAACAAAAAGGCAAGAAATACAAGATCACAAGAGACTAAGTCTGAGGAACGGTAAATGAAGTTAAAAGTATTCTAAGACCAAGAAAAAGGAAAAAAATGCCACTTACAAATAATATTATATAAAAAAACACAACTACTGTCAACACAGAAAATCCAAAAGAATCCATCACTTACTTTTAATTTTATTTACTAATTTTTAGAGAGCGAGGAAGGGAGGGAGGGAGAAAAACATGGATTTGTTGTTCCACTTATTTTGCATTCACTGGTTGATTCTTGTATGTGCCCTAACCAGAGTTATCAAACCCACAACCTTAGTGTATCAGGATGATGCCCTAACCAACTGAGCTACCTGCCAGGGCATAAATTATTAATATTAGTAAGAATCTAGCAAGTTAGATAAAAAATTAAAAACAAATTACATTTTATATATCAGGAGCAACTAGAAAATAAAATCTTTAAAAAGATATAATGTGCCCTGGCCAGTTTGGCTCAGCGAATAGAGCATTGGCCTATGTACTGAGGGGTCCTGGGTTCGATTCTGACCAAGGGCACATGCCTGGGTTGCGGGCTTGATCCCCAGTAGGGGCCGTGCAAGAGGCAACCAATCAATGACTCTCTTTCATCATTGATGTTTCTCTCTCTTTCTCTCTTCCTTTCTTCCTCCCTTAAATCAATAAAGAAATATATTTTTTAAAAAAAGATATAATGTAAACCAGTGGGATGGCACAAAGAGGCCAGAAATAGATCCACACGTAAATGGACAGCTCATCTGTGACAGATGTGGGGCTGCACATGCGTGAGGGGAGAATGAATTAAGAGAATGAGTGCGGAAACAACTGGTTCTCCATATGGAAAAATGAAACTGGTTCATACTATACCCAAAAATCAACTCCAAATAGATACCTAAACATAAAGTATTAGATTATAAACGTTCAGAAAAAAATAGAGCTAAGTACATTAATGATTTTGGAGTATAGAGAGATTTCTTAAGCCTAGCAAAAGCACAAACAATAAGGAGGAGAATGATAAACCCATGTACATTAAAATTAAGACTGGGGGGGATTCTGCAATACCTACGATCGAAAGGAAGATTTAAGTTTCAGGACCCCCACAAATCAATTAGAAAAAAGAAAAAAAAGATAAACCAAAAGGAAAATGTGTCAAAGACACTTTTCACCACAGAGGCACTTCACCAAAAAAAGAAAATCTGAATGGCCAATCGATGTGAAAAGATGCTCAACCCCGTTAGTAATCAGGGAAATGCACATTAGAACACGTTTCAGACTCAACAGATTGGCTAAATGTAAGTATGTCAATATTCAAGGTAACAAAAGCTAGGAGGAATCCCAGGTGCTGCTGGAGGCTGTAAACTGACAACCTGGAGAACAGTTCCATTCCTAGGTACACACTTAGAGAAACTCGCTTCCCTGTGTCCAAGAGATACGTTCAATGTCCAAGCAACGCTGTGGCTCCTAGCAGAACACTGGAAATAACCCAACTAAGGACATGGATAGATCGTTTATATACAGACAACTTTGTAGCAAAACAAATGGGCTGGAACTATACTTATCAATGAGTAAAACCCCAGATCAGGTTGAATAAAAAATATACAGCATGATTCCACTATATACAAGTTAATAAACTTTAAGCAATATATTAATTAAGGATACGTTCACAGGTTGTAAAACTATAAAGAAAAGCAAGGGAATGAGTATCACAAAAGTCAGGAAAGTGATTACCTCTCGGGAGAGGGAAGAGGAGGCAATCGGAGAGGGGCACATAGGAGACTTCTAAGGTACTGGCAATGTTCTATTTCTTAACCTGGGTGGTAGGTACATGGATGTTCACTTTATTATTAGTATGTAAACTGTAATAGACATTTATACACTCTATATATTTCACAATAAAACAAGTTTTAAAGAAACTGTTTTACTTGCAACTACCGATCAGGGAAAAGCTTACAGAGAGAGGTTTACTGTAAAAGCAGCCAACACTTACCAGTGCTTCCTCGTAAGGTTTGTATTTCTCCAACTGCTGTAGCGCTTTGTGATAGCTCTGAGTTACCGACTCTGGTATTGGGTCTTCCGACCACTCTTCATACTCTGCAAATGTTGCCTCCATATCTATTGAAAAATGGATTCAGCCCCTTGGGTCTTGTAATTGGATCTTAAGAATCCAAACATAGATTAAACCATGAGAGTCGAATGCCACTAACCCCTCCCACATCAGTGGCCATAGCAGCTCTTATGACCAAATCCTGAGCTCTCCTGCTGAGCTCACACTTGGCCTTAGACTCTGTCTCCAAATACTATCCCAGGCAGTCCTACCAATTAATCAATCAGAATTCATGAAACTAATAGCAAAGCTTTAACAACACTTAACCTGGCACTTCCTAGGTTCTAAGTCATCATAGCCATTAACTCGTCTGATCCTCACAACTCTATGATGTGGGTTCTACTGTGATCCCCATTTTGCACTGTCCACAGGAAACGGCAGAGCAAGGGTTTGAACGCTACTCACTATGCTACGCTGCCTCAAACTGGGATGAGATGAAATCTACAAGCCAGTTCCGTTCTAGCCTTTTCTGCATGTCACCCAAAGATTCAACTGGAGAGACAGGCTATACTTTGTTAAATGAAATCCAAGTAAGCTGTGAAGTAAAATGAGAAATAACTTCTGGGCTCAAGTCAAGTTATCCAGAGGGTCTGAGGGTGCACAGTACACCAGGTCTAGGGAACAAACAAGATGGCAACGCCAAACTCTTCCCATGCTCGGAAAAATCCTCCCAGTGCTGCTCATGCTCCAGCTCCAGAACCTCAAAGGCGTGGCTTTCCAATATATATTCCCCAAAAAAGGAGAATCCTTACCAAACCCCAGGAAATTCAGGTATGAATACTTGCGACCCATGGTGCTCCTGAACCAGATCACCCCACCGAGGAATGGTCCAGGCCCACGTAAACTCCCCAGGTCATGGAAGAGGGTACTTCTCAAGAGAAAATGCTCCGAATGGAACTCTGATTCAATCCAGCTTCCCCAGAAAACACAGGGAGTCAGTTTCTCTATTCCTTTCAGAGACAGAGAGCCGCCTCTCTGCCTCTCCAACAATGTCCACACGACTGGGACTTCCTGCCTCTGACCCTCATAACTAACTTGAGCATTAATAACTCAAGATACATTTTTACCAAGGGACTCGTCCACAGTCACGCTGTCCAGTGAGAGTAAGGACACCAGCCACATTTGCCTCGTGGGATGCTGGGAAAGGCCGAATCACATGACATACCCCAAAGCATTTTAAAAACCACGAAGGGCTGGCTCTTGTCTTACCGTAGAGTGGGATTGCCAACTGTCGCCGGAAGAGACTGTGCACTTTCTCCAGCTGTGAATCAAAGGTTTGTTCCCGGTCAAAAGGGGAAAGGAAGCCAGCCATGGGCTAAAGAAGTAAATTTGTAGTAAATGACAAACTTTGGTCCTTCCTACCTCAAAATTATTTCATAAAAAAAATTTATTTCAACACACTTTTAGTTCAAACTAAAAAAAAAAAAAAAATTATGACCTCTTACACATGAGGTAATGCGTGGTAAAGCTGAAGGCAGCACTGCCAATTTTTCAACAGGGACGTAATTCAAGAATGAACTGGGTTACTTTAACAATAACAATCAAACATTAGAGGGCTTCACTGTGTATCAATAACTGTGCACCCACACAGAGTGGAGAGGGACAGTAAAATTCTGTAAGTTGTAGTCTAAAAATTGCAATTCTGATTGGGTCAAATCTCTCACAGTTTCTACTGGACATTTTTGGGGGGAGGGGGTGGGGAAGGGGTAGTGACACGGTTATTTTTGTATTTTATTCTGGAACCAGTAACTAAAGCAGTAGTATTTTTAAGTATCAAGAACAAATTGTAGAGTCATGTGTAAGAAATCATTCTTGCTAGTCTAAAAAACTTTTTATTTCATATATTTACCTGCCCATACACTAAGGAATTGGCGAAGACCATTTTATTAACTATGTCCTTCCAAGAGCACTTACAGAGACAGCCCGACTATTCAAAGGCAAGCACTGGTCACGGAGGCGGGGAACTCACCCGGGCAGCTTCCACAATCGCATTTTCGAACTCCCGGTAAGCCTCCCAGATGGCCAGGCCTTTGGTCATATGTAAACCGACAGACGAGAGAGCCCTTTCAAACACAGAGCGGACTTTCTCCAGGCCACCTTTCTGACCAATCCCACCGACTGAGTACTGGCCATACTCCAGCCAAATGTTTGGACCTAAAAATGAGGAGAGTTCTGTTAGTTAACAACATGAGACACCCAAATATCAAAAATGAGGCATAACAAAAGAAATGTGCCCACCAAAAAAGTACTCATTCATGCAAAAAGGTAAGAGCATCATCAATATGCATCCCAATTCACCTACACTAATGCTGCAGCCTAAAAAGAAAGTCTACCCAAACAATGTTCCTAGCAGGTATATTCGTTGAGATGTTGCTGAATAAACAGTATATGCCAAGAGGTAATATGTAAAAAGACCATGATCATAAAGCTTATTTATTAAAACTGAAGAAACTCAGTGATAGATTTCAATGAAAATACTTAAGAATCTGAGTCAATCTTCAGAAAGATTTCAAAGCCTAGAATTTTTCAAAATGAAAAACATTAAAAGCACCAATACTGTTAATAGAAATCTGTATTTTAAAATCTCTGTTTTTAATGACTTTAAACAATGACAAAAAAAGCTTGGTTGCTTTGTTTCTTTCACTCTTTTTAAATTTTTATCTACTCACTCCCACAACTTTAAGACCAGACCACTGAAAGATCTTCATGAATGCATCCATTCTTACTGTACACGGTTTGCCTGTACTTTTCAAAGACCTAAAAATAATTTCAGAAGCCTATACACTAACTTTGTAAAATAAAAATGCTAGATACAGAAGCCAATTTGAAGATGACCATGTTTTCCTAAGGCAGGTTTATTTCAAGAACTTAGCCAAAGCTTTAGCCACTTTGTTTCGTGCACCAATAAAAAGCTGCCAGATGGGCTGCAAAAAAAAAATGGAAATGAGCTAGCTCTTGGAGGTGAAGGGCTGAGTGATGGGAGGTCAAGTTTACAGATGGTCTGTGAAGCGGTTCCTCCTCTCAGAGAAGGTAATTTTCAACAGATGACATCATGCCCCCTCTCAACACTTAATCTTGACAGGGGCAAATATGAGAAACGGCATTTTAACTGAGAAAACCCAAGGGTACCGAGCCCACAGTGACTCTGAGAGACAAACAAAAGAAGGTGTCACTAGACCCCAAGCTCAGAACAGGCATGAAGCCTCCGCACAAGGCTCCTCCAAGACCAAGGAGCCGGGTTTTCAAAACCTCTGCGGAGCCAAGGGAGGTTTTCAGGGGGAGACTGGGAGATAGGGGCCTCCCCTCCCCCTCCTCCTCTTCCTGTGCGGACCTCAAGCCCTCCCCAGTCCGCTGGGGTGGGGGGGGCCTCTGAGGAGCCAAAAGGCCTAGCCATCTCCGACTACTGGGGCATCAACCACCCCACTACTGAGTGAGTACATGCTGAGAAACACAGGAAGGCCATCCTTGGCATCTTCAAATATTAAAAAAACAGTTAAATAGGAAAATACTAAAATACAAAGAATAGAAAAAAATAAATAAAAAGGACAACAAAATAAAAAGCAGGCAGAGTGGCTTCTGAACATTCAAAACAAGTGGCAATTTGCACACACTGAAGCTCCCGAAAATAACACATCCCCTGGGGGTCCCATTCAAAACGACTTGTGAGACATCCTCTAAGGAGGTGGTCACCTGGTCCCCGACCCACAGCAGCCCTGCAGCAGCTGGTGGAAGGGCAGTCGCTGTCATCAGCACTAAGTGACAGCGGAGGCCTGCCGGCAGGGAGGACTGCAAACCCTAAGGGACTGAGAACCATCACGGGCGGCCTGGAAGGACAAAAGATCCTTGCAGAGAGAGGGCTGGTGCTGTTAATGACTCTGAGACCTTAAGAAGGGGGTAACAGGACCAGCAGAAAACAAGGTACATCATGCATTTGGAACTCAGAGATTCTAAGAGGCCACAGGGCCGGCACCATCTGAGCAAAGACACGGGATAGCTTTTAAAGGCACATTCAGTATAATTTTATATTCACCAAACAACTATTATTTTCATTATTTGAATTATAAAAAGTAAAAAAGTTTATATTCTTCTTGGCTGGTAAAGGTACAGAAAAAATCCTCTCCCTTTGGGCAGTCTACCTACTAAGTGCTGACACTGCTCTCAAGGGGAAATGCCCAGAGTGAAGACTGAGGAAAATCAGATGGGGAAGAAGGGCTTAATTTAAAAAGGGGGAGGGGGGGACCTTGTAATGCTTTTTAATGCGTTTTGTCCACAGCACTGATGTGTTCCCCAATATATGTAGAGACAATGTTTAGAGAATTAACCATCAACAGGGGCGGCTGAAGGGTCTTAAGGGGAAGTCAGGCATCCACCTTCACTTGCACTGCTGACCGGTCAGCACCAGGAGACCAGGGAGCTCTGTGGTGGGGGAGGGTCTGTACCTCGAGCGCAGTGGTGACCACCGGAAGCTACACGGATAACATCTACAGAACGACACACATGCACTGCACCAAGGTCAACTTCCTGGTTTTGATTCTATACTACTGTTATAAACTACTGGGAAAACTGGACGAAATAAGTACATAGGACTTCTCTGTGCTACTTTTGCAATTTCCTATAAATACAGAATTATTTCAAAAAGAAGTTTTAAGGTTTTTAATATGAAAAATAAAAATTCTGTCCAAAACTTCTAAAAATCTATTCAATGTGTAAAAGGTGACCTTTAGTCATCTGGAACTACCATGTAAATTCTTCCTGCCAGGTAAGTGCTGGGTGTGAGTATATTCATCCACTTAAATGAACCTCAGATATTACAGGTTCGGTTCCAGCCACCCCCTCCACCCCACCCCCCAATGAAGCAAATATCGAAATAAAGCCAATCTCACAAATTTTTTTGTTTCCCAGTACATATAAAAGTTATGTTTATACTATAACGTAGTCTATTAGGTGTGCAATAGAGTATGTCTTTAAAAATGTACATACCTTAATTTTTTAAAACTTTGTTAAAAAAATGCTAACTCTCATCTGAGATTGTTGGTGAAAATGGTGCTGATACATTTGTTCAACACAGGGTTACCACAAACTTTCAAATTGTAACAAAAAAGAAAAAATAGCATCTGTGAGATGCGATAAAGCTAAGTGCAATACAGTGAGATATGCCTATGTCTTAAAACCAAATATCTTCAACTGAAAACCATAAACAATAATAGATGAACTCAATCTTCCTAATTGCTAGACGAATGCTGTCTTCTGGGCAACAGCATCTCACAACACAATCTAGACAGCAGAGACTGATGCAGGTGACACTGCCGGGCCCCCTGGAAAACGCCTGCGGGAACTTACATATGTAATCCTTCACGGCTTTCTCAAAGAGGTCGTACACGTGCTCTCGGTCCAGGCTGTCCAGGGCCATGCTGATCTCATCGTGCAGCCACTCCAGCCAGAGCTCTACAAGACAACAGCCTGCGTTACCACCTCCCTCCCAAGAGGGCGGTCTGAAAGCAGCAATGTAGAGGAGTCATCAGCAGGCAAGCGTTTCATCATCTTACACAATCTGGCACAGGTCACAAAAACTCAATTCTTAAAGCCTGCACCAAGCACAGAAGTTTATGGCTCCAGATAAGATCAAATCACTAAAATCATAATATTCTACAGCTGTTGGGCACTTCATGGTTTGCAAATTCGGTGTCTATAAAAGCAGCCCGGCTGGTGAGGAGTTACCTTCTGTCAAAGGGAAGATCTCACTCATCTTCTGGCGGGCCGCCCTCACTTTGGTGAGCTCCCCTTCCAGCCGTAGCAGCCTGATCAGGTCCACATGGCAGTTGTAGTCATAGATGTTGATAGACAGCTAAAAGGAAAAGAAACAGCCGGTGAAATTTAAAATGCCATCATCAAAATAACTTAGCTTTTTTTTTTTTTTTTTTTTTTTACCATTGGTGACAATGCACACATCTGTCACAAACAAAATAAATGTGCTACCTGGGAGAGCCTCTGAAACAGAAATGAAACCTCAGGAAAAGGAAGAAAAAAGATCAATACAAGAGGCTTTTTATAATAACCATAAAGTTCCCTCAAGTCCGTCACAATTCCCATCAGCACACACTTGGTTCTCTCTGAAATACAGGAAACATTCTAACAAAACAAATAAGCAATAGTGTGGCCTTAGGCTGGTTATTAATTGTCCTAAGCCTCCATTTCCTCACTTTAAATGGGGGAATCACCGTTTTCTGACTCATAAAGTTCCTGTGAGGATTTTAAACATAATTTAGTAACGTGCTTTAGCATATGCCAGGCACATAGGTAACAGCTCTTTTCTTCTACTGAATAAATAAAAAGATCCCTATTGGTAGAAATAAGAATGACAACAGACTGATATCTTCTGAAGCTGAGTGATAAGCACATAAAGGTCTATTTCTATACCTGAAACTTTTCAAACTAAAAATTTAAACAATAAATTAAAATAAGTGCTTAAAAAGCTATCATACATCTGAGACAAAAGGAAACTATAAAAATATGTTACTATCCGACTTACACTCTTAAAGAATAGCTAAAGGAAGTTCTTCAAAGAGGAAGGAAATGATAAAAGAAATCTTGGCATCAAGAAGAACAAGAAAGAGCAGAAAAGTGGGTAAGTATAGGGTGTCCCAAAATTCACGCAAGACTTTAATTCTGCGTGAGCATTAACAACTACAACAAAAAATAAAAGCCTAATTTTACTTGGTTTATTGAATCAGATTCTAATATCTGTTGCCCTTTGATTTCAATCCCTTCAATTTGATAAGCATTACCAAGTACCAATTATGGCCCAGGAGCAGGGACAATGAAGACCAAGGCTTTGCGTATGTGCCAGCAAAGCCGTGGAGGCCATTTACCCGATGTGCTATTCCATACATAACCCTATACTGTATACTTTATGAATCAATAAAAAATTTACAATTTTTAATTATAAACCTGTGTTTTCTATCAAAATTACTTCTTGCGTGAATTTTGGGACACCCTATATAAGTTATCCTTCTCCTTATGTGTTTTCTAAATTGTATGTACAATGTTTTACTAGTAAGACTACCTGAAACCCAAAACAACGATATTTAAAAAGCAGGGATGCAAAGGGACATAAATGGAAGGGAGATTGCCACACCTCACTCAGTGGTAAAACGTAAATACCAGGAAAGTCAAACTGAATTCATGACCCATGACCATGACCCCAGTTTGAAAAACACCGATGCAAAAAAATAGATAAATTGGAAAAACACCAATGCAGAGAAACTCTTACACGTGTTCAACAGTAGCACAGTTCAACAGAAACAATGTTTTGTTGTAGCCTGTTTGTAATGGGGGGGGGGGGGGGCGGGACTATAGCTATCCAAATGCTAGAACTGATCAAACAGTTGTCAAAATGAATAAACTGCAATGACAAGTAACATGGATGAACCTTAGAAACCCACTGCTGGGTGGAAAGCAGTCCCAGAAGATTATGTATAACATGACGGACTTTTTTAAAAGCTCAAAAACAAACAAAAGTGGACAACACACTGCTTAAGGACGCATACCTGAGTGATAAAACTGTATGTTTGCCAATAGAAGGAAACAGAAGATTCAAGAACGTAGTTACTGGGTTTTAGGAGGGGGCACGAGAGAAGGGGCAAGGCAGGACTGGGATAGGGAAGGCGCCCAAGACACATGCAGCAGTACCCATGCAGCTCTAACCCGCAGACGAGCGAAGGGTGTTCATTTGATTACCATACTTTCTAATTTACAGATGTGAACTGTGTATGTATCAATTCACATAAAAAAGATAAAGAAGAATCAATAACAGGTAAGAATATGACCTGATTCTTTCAAAAACCTTAAAAGACTTGCAGCAAGGTTCTCTTACACGTGATTTATAAAGCTTGACAAGCTGAACCCATCCATGATTATGTGATGGTTCGACAGGGCTGGACGAGGCCAGGACACACATGCCCTCGTCTCCCCTGGTCCTCAGTGTCCTCACCTGCACCAGGATGAGCTCGAGTGGCTGTCACCACACACTGACGGTTCCAAACTGACTGTCAAGTGTGGCACACGAGTAACGAGAGTTTAAAAAGTTGAGTTTGTGAAAGATGTGCTTTCCTCATTAAAGAACATCCTAGGCTCTCCCGTCCCCCACCGACTCACAGCTTCCCTGGGTTTGAATGTGTTTTCTGAGCCTGGAGAGGGTGGGAGAGCCCTTACCGGTTAGTGTGAGGAAGGCCTGTGCAAACATCCCTCAGGAGCACCATGTGTAATTCAGAAGACAAAGGTATAAAAGTCACGACGTAGAGGAACTGCCTCCAGGGTGATTTTTGGTCTAAATTTCTGATGTCTAGCCCAAATGACGATAGCATGGATAGGAGGTGCTCTGAAAGTCTGTACATGAAATGCATGCTGAGCTGCACGTACAAGACATTTCACAGAGCTCACTCCGCACTGACAAGTGAGCGCACACGCTGGTCTACTCCCGTCCCAGAACTTCGTGAACAACAAAGGAAGCTCTAACAGGGAGGCGGCTTAGCCACTGCACAGACTGATCTAACCCATTTCCTAACTCCCTACCGGCACAAACTGGACCTGGAGCTGGGGGTGGAGAAATAACAGAGGCCTGTGGAAGGACACATGCTACCCACGGCAAAGGCAGGGAAAGGAGAAAGGAGGCCTTGCATGGCACCTACTCTGTGTCAAACGCTGCCAGCAGTTTTACACACACTGTCACTTAAGGTCCACAACAGCCCTGCGTGTGTGTGTGTGTGGGGGGGGGGGGGTGACACTACAACAACCCTCATTTTACCAGCTGGGACGCCATAGGCTCTGAGACTGAAATAGCTTGCACGTGAGAAAGAATGTGCTTAAGTTCACGGCACACACACACACACACACACACACACACACCCGCACACACCCCCCCCTCCCCCGCCAGACGGACCACACAGATGGGTCTCTGGTTCTCTCCTCCAGCAGGGTTTGCCCAGCAGCAGGCACCAGCAGATGCTTGGAACGAGGAAGAGAGGGAGGCCAGGGTATGCCTCCTCCCACCCCGACCCCCTGATTGGAAACCAGGGCTGCACCCCTTGACCAAAGGCCTTGGCTTCCCGGGTGCTCTATCCACACCTTTCAAAATACCGGTCCCCCCTCCCCTCTTCAGGCCTGAAGATGGACACAGGTCCTGCTGTGACTAGCCCTGGGATGCCAACCTCCCCTCCCCATTTCCCTGCCCACCTTCACAAACACGGTGGTCCCTCCCTCTATTAACCTTAACGCAAATTATCCTAACTTACATCTGCTGGGACCCCGGACCGCACTGGAGTTAACAGGTTAGATCAGTGGTTCTCAACCTGGGCTGCACATTAGAATCACCTGGGAATCTTGTTAAAATCCTGATTTCTTGCCCTAACCAGTTTGGCTCAGTGGATAGAGCGTCAGCCTGGGACGCCTGAGGGGTCCCAGGTTCGATTCCGGTCAAGGGCGTGTACCTTGGTTGCGGGCACATCCCCAGTGGGAGGTGTGCAGGAGGCAGCTGATCAATGTTTCTAACTCTCTATCCCTCTACTTCCTCTCTGTAAAAATAATCAATAAAATGTATATTTTTAAAAAATCCTGATTTCTGGCCCTCATCATTAGTAACAAAGAAACAGAATTTCCGGAGGAGGAGGCCCAGAAATCAGGATTTTAACAAGATTCCCAGGTGATTCTAATGTGCAGCCCAGGTTGAGAACCACTGGTTTAGATAGAGATCCGGTTACTGCGAGGCGCTGGGCAGCTGTCACTGCCGCCATCGCAACTACACGACACGGAAGTGCTGCTCCCAATTTACAGACGCGGCAGCTGAGGCTCAAAGACTCGAAGAAACCCGGCCAAGCCCTGACCGGTCTGGCTCAGTGGATAGAGCGTCAGCCTGCAGACTGAAGGGTCCCAGGTTCGATTCCGGTCAAGGGCATGTACCTGGGTTGCAGTCACATACCCAGTGGGGGTGGGGGTGGGGGGGGGGGGGGTGCAGGAGGCAGCTGATCGATGTTTCTCTCTCCTCGATGTTTCTGACTCTCTATCCCTCTCCCTTCTTCTCTGTAAAAAATCAATAAATAAGTAAATAAATAAAAACCCGGCCAAGCACACACAGCCGGGGCCTCAGCCTCCGGACGCCGAGACCCCTACCTTTCCATTCTTACGACCGTCCTCAAGGTCGATACCGCCTTTCCTACCCCATGGTCCCGCATCACCGTTCGTTCCCAGAGGGAAACCCCTCCCTGGCGAGGGGAGCGGTGTTTCTGCTGCGGGGCGTAGCTCCACGGGGAGGCTGGGAGGGGGAGGTGTGGCCCCCCATTTGCAGGAAGTGTAGCCTCGCGCCGGAGAAGTCCCTCCACGGAGAGCCTCCGTTTCCTCGGTAAAACGGGGGACACACTACCGCCTCCCTGGGTCGTGGTGAGGCTGCCATGGGATGCCGCCCGCACAGCCCCAGGCAAGCGCCCCAAACGCTGGGAGCTGCGGGTGAATAGCGGGTTTGCTGCCCCGGCCGGCGGCTTCATTACCGCTCCGGACCCGGGAGGAGGAGAGTCAGGCCCGGGAACCTGGGGGAGAGGGGGACCCCGCCGCCCACCCCCGGGCGCACCTGCTCCTCCAGCCGCTCAATCTCCAGCTGGTTCTTCTCCTCCTCTTCGTCGTACTCCCACTCGTCCTCGCCGGGGGAGCTCTCCGCCGAGGAGGCCATGGCGAACTCCTCGTCTCCATCGCTCTCACTCACGCCTTCCTCCCGCTGCTCATCCCACGCTGGCCCCATGGCCTTGTAGGCCGCCGTGGCCACGGCGCGCGTTAACACCTTCCTCCTCGTCCTGTCCGCCTTCGCCTCGTCCTCCTCGCCCTCAGCCTCGGGCCCCGCCTTGGGATCGGTCTCCGGTTCCGAAGCCGACGCTGCGGCCGCCGTCGCCATCTTGCGCTTCCAGCGACTCCCGGGTCTGCCCTGGGCCGCCTAAGACCCCTGGAGGTAGAGGCTGTCCGCGGCGCGCGCCTGATCAAAAACCTCGCTGTCTTGGCGCCTGAAAGGGAAATGTGAGCCTCAGGTGACGGGGAAAATCTCTAAATACACGCAAGTCATGTTATTTTCATACACCTGTGAAAGTTCTCTTGAGAAAAACAATAACCTCCCTAACACGGCGTGTGTTCCGTCTCACTTCGGACAGAATGGGGTCCTTGGACAGGAAGTGGGGCCATTAGCGGAAGTCCGGGAGGGAGCCTGATGACTTAGTTAAGGGTTTGGCGCCATCTGGAGAAGGTCAAAATGACTGGGAATAAATACCTTACTGCCTAGTGTGACCTGGCGTTTGGTTCAAATATCCCCGCCAGCTGACCCGCAAAGGCAGGGAAAACCCCAAGTCCTCAGGGATCGATGCACCATTCATGAGAAAAACACATTTCCCAAAAAGATTCTTCCCCCTTTATGTAATGCCTGATGCTTAGTAGGCGTTAAAGGCACACGTGAGTTTTCTCATTTTATAAGATCTTATTCTGCACACCAACATTAATAAATTACACTACTAGGCATTTAATTAGGAACTCTCAATTGCCAGATATTGTCATATAAGTTTACTGTAGTTTGTACAGAAATAGATAATATAGACATGTACGTTTTTAAAAAATCAGGACAGGGTTTCGTTTCCTTCTTAATTAAGCCTCCCATTTTGAGGTAGGGGAGCACTGGTGTGTTTACTTACTGCCTTTCTCCTTCCCCAGTAAGTTTAATGAGGCAGGAATTATGTCTGCTTTTCTTTCCGTTAGATTCCCAAAGCCTGGTACAGCGTCTTGACGCATAGTAGGTACTACACACGTACTTGCCCATGAATGAAAACATCGTCCTTGAATTACATATTACAAAAGATCGAGGCTTAGGGAGCTAATGTCATTTGCCTAGGGTCACACAACCAGGAAGGAGCAACACCGGGATTCTAACGCAGATTGTCTGAATCCGAATCCCAAGTGCAGCTAACTCCTGAGCAACTCTGGATAAGTCACTAAGCCGCTCGGAACCGACAAGGCCTCGGCTGCACGTGGGGGTTGAGAAAGATGGACGGGCTGGCCCTCCGCGCCGCATTCGGGCGGTGGGCTCGGCGGACGTAAACGTGTGTCCCGCATTCCAGCCCGAGGTCCTCTTACACCCAGAGCCCAGCACCCAGGACCAGCCCTCCTGCCCCTTAGACCGCCCCGCTCCGCGCCCCGCCCCCCGGAGGGGCGTGGTCCCAGCGCGGACACGTGCGCGACACGTGCCCGGAGCGTGAGGGCGCGGGCACGCAACCGCGGTGACGTCGTCCAGGCGCGCCCCTCCCCTCGGCCTCGCGCTCGGCCTACGCAGGCGCAAACCGGAAGATGGCGGCGACTGGAGCGGGCCGTCTGCGGCGGGCTGCGTCAGTCCTGCTGCTCCGGACCCCGCGCCTGCCGCCCCGGGAGCTGTCAGCCCCCGCCCGGCTCTATCACAAGAAGGTAGGGGTTGGAAGGGGGATGCGCGGGGTCCGCAGCGACCGGGGCGGGAGGACGAGGACCTCGGAGGGGACTGGAGGGTGCCGGTGCCGGACAGAGGCCCAGCCGAGGGAGGAGTGGCCGCGGGACTCTGCGCCGCTTGGGGAGCCCCCGCCGTGGCCCGGGTGGGGATGGCGCCCGGCCCTGGATGGAGGGATCGCCCCCCCCCCCCACCCCTCGCGTGACACTGCCTCCACTCGCCTCGCTGCGCAGTGACGCTGACCGCGCACGAAAAAAAAATAACTGTCCGTGGGCCCTGCCGCTGGCCGCGACGCCCTGCATCCCAGCCCTTGAACGTCCTAAGAGCCCGGGAAGGAGGGTCCTGTTAGGACCTGCCGGCCTGACGCCTGGACCACTGCCCCGGTCAAGTGACCTCGGGGAAGGCGCTGTCCTTCGCCGAGCTTGCTCCCCATTCGGAAAGGGGTTCTCTGAGCAGCCCCTACACAAGGGGGTGCTGTGGCGGCCTCGGCAGGGTGCCCGGCACAGAGGGACCTTCCAGGTGCCGCTATGTTGTAGGAGCTCAGAGCCCCGAGTGGAGCCAGTACGCAGTCGTGTGTTTATTTTCGTGTTTTGTTTGGGGCGGGGCATAGGGATGGGTGTGTGATTTGCAGCCCTTGGGGGGGGGGGGGGGGCGTGTCAAGTCCCTTGGGCGGGAGATTGTGACACAACCAACCGAAGAAGGTGGTGAATCACCATGGGGGCAAACAGTACCGATTGGATGTTACCTTGTAGGTCCTTGGGCTTGGAGTCGGCATCCTGGTCGGAACGGAGGGGGGAGGGGGGCCGGACGATCGGCACACTTGGGTTAACTGGTAAAAAACAAAAAAACAAACCTCAAGGTTATTAGAGCCTTCCGTGTGCCGGTTTGAATAGACATTTATTCTCTCCTGGCTTCAGCTCGCCGCCCGGGACTTGGCTCCTCCCCCACCCAGGGGTGTGTTTTGTGGACAGTGCCCGCCCAAGGGACTCGGGCTGGCCGCCTCCTGGCCACCGGGGTGCGCTGCTGCACCGGGGAGGCCTCGGGGCCCTGAAATCTTGATGGGACCTGATTTTTATCGTCGTACCCACTTGGACACGTTTCATAGCATCGTTTCCCTGTAACAGTCTCCTCGAGGCTTCTGGGAAAGCCTTCAATTTATGGCTCATAGTCACTTTCAGAATTGTTGACTCGTTATTATCCTTTGAGAAGAGGCTGTATTTGGAAATAACAAAAATGCCATTTGAGCCCAAACCTGGCCATCTAGGTGGGTCAAGGTCCAACGGTTATAGGTGGTTAAAAAGCCTCTGGAATGAAGACATGATTTTCCTCCAGTATCACAAGTCTCTTAATAAGGTCGTTGGAAAGGAGACGCAAAAAGACTCTGGGTCACAAACGGTTCTCGTTGACCTGAGCGTGAGCCTTCCCACCCGGGTAAAATCTGGCATTTAGTGATTGCCTGCCAAGTTCAGGTTGCTGACTTGGTGCTTACCATCAAGTCAAGACCAAAAAGAGTGATCATTGATTTCTCTTAACTCTCATTTCAGGTTGTCGATCATTATGAAAATCCCAGAAACGTGGGGTCTCTTGACAAGACATCCAAAAATGTTGGGACCGGACTGGTGGGGGCTCCAGCGTGTGGCGACGTGATGAAATTACAGGTACTGCTGGTTTTCATCGGGGACGGGAATGGAACCTGTTGGCCGACAGTGCATCGTAGTTCACAGAGACTTGCACACACCGTCTCCTTTGGTCTCCCTTTGGACTCCTGCGAGGCAGGATGAGCCTGTCCTAGCGCTCCTGCTGGTACACTGTGCTGACCCTTTCCGATACAGTAAATTGATCACCCTGTTCTGCTCACTGAATCAGCTTCAATTCCAGCGTCAGTTAAGCAAAAGGTTCTGTGTTTTACCAAAGGAAAACCACAGCCGTTGAGCTAGCCATCCCCTGTGAGATAAGAAATCCAATAAAGCAGACCTCCCCCAAACTGAAGGCAACAACAGGAAGGCTGGGTAAACCGAAGCTTCATTCACAATCTGCTTCCTCATGGAGGGAGGGCAGCGTGCCAGAAACTGCCTGCCTGTCTTAGAAAACAGCAACAGGGCAGGGCGGGACCACTGCATGGTTTGGTGTCCAAGGAAAAAGCATTAACTAGAGACCGTGAGCGTAGGCTCCCCCAGCGTTTCCAGGGCAGACTGACACAGCAGCCGTGAGCAGAACTTCATAGCCAAAAAGCAGGCGAGGGTAACAAAACAAAACTTCAAAGGGGCGCATTATTTAGCTAATCTGTACCGCAGGCCTATGTGATTGTCTATGTTTGACTCTTATCCCTGAGCTCCTCAGAACAAAGCAGACTCAGGAAACATCGTCATTAGTGCCAGAACTTCAAGTGGAAACAAGGCCAAGGTCTTGGGAAGAGCCCATGCAGCCCTGTGAGTGCCGCTTCTACAGACAGCCCCACCCCTGTCTCTTTAGATCCAGGTGGATGAGAAGGGGAAGATCGTGGACGCCAGGTTTAAAACATTTGGCTGCGGCTCCGCAATCGCCTCCAGCTCGCTGGCCACCGAATGGGTGAAAGGAAAGACGGTAAGATCACTCGCAGAACTGACAGCATCAAGTCACGTTTTCCACAAACATGGCGCTCAGTTAAGGGAAAGGTCTGGTGGGTGGAGGGGGGCGGAAATAACTGATTTAAAAAAATACATTCTGAGACTCCTTTTTAATTTCTCCTGCCCAGATTTTTATTAAATTCTCCACATTGGGAACAGTGGATTGTTCTGTTTTGTTAAGAGTTTTTTAGTTTGGGGTTTTTTTGTTGTTGATCATTTTTATTCGGGGTTTTCTGTGATGTTTTGTTTCTAATTAAATAGAAAAAAAGATCCTCACCTCTCCACCTAACAAGATAGAGCTTAAAAGAAACCTTAGCTTTCTCCAAGGTCACTGGTGGTGTAATTTCTTAAGCGTGTCGGTCAGGTCAGGGCGTGTTGTGCAGTGGTTTGTTTTCTTGTTTATTTCCTCCCATCCTGTTTCGGAAAGAACTGCAGGTGGCTTTTAAGGGTTCATGGAATAACAAACTGGCCTGTACTAACAGAGACTGAAGAGTCAAACGCACATCGAGGGAGGGGCAGAGTGAGCAAGCACATCCAAACAGTGAGGGGTCGGGGGGGGCAGGCCCTCCTAGTGGAGAGGCCTGAACAAGAAAGGCAGGAACATCTTTCCCATCCTTTTCTCTGCCAGCGCCTCTTTCCCCAGCAGCTGCAGAAGGTCCCCAGCCCAGTGAAGAACTGGACTTCCTAAAATCTAGTCATTCAAACCTCTCAGAAAAGCTAAACCGCAGGCTGCTCATCCTTGTAACCCCGAGGGACCAAGTTCAAGGTTATAGAGAAGACTGCTCAAGGAGCTGGGCAGCTCGACAGCGAAGCACAAGCCACGCCTCATGCCACCTGCTTTCCGTGGCTCTGGGCCTTCTGGCTGGCAAGCTCCTTGGTGCCAAGGAAGCACAGGCCTGGTCTGTCCGGCAGGAGGTGGCTCTGCGGTGATTTGTCACCAACTGTCTGCAGGGAAAGGGGGGAAAGGGAGACGAGGCACCTGTGCTCCCAGGACCTGACCCGAGGGGCCTGTGAGTTGTGGTCAGAAAATAGGGGAAGAGGGCCTTTCTTTGACCTTTACATCCTCCCATCCTGAGTTCCCAGGAACAGAACTAAAGTCATAATGGAGTAGAATTAGTGGCATTGGGAAGTTAGGGGGACACCTGGCTTTCCTTAAGATGCTGGGACTGTTCCAGGGGGGCAAGGAACCACCTGCCTCTTGTTCTGCCCTCAGGCTCCGGACCGAGCCCCAGGCGGGAGGAGTTAGTCTCCTTTCAGCCTGGGATGAGCCCAAAGGGAGCTCCTAGCCCAGGACCCACCTGTGCCACTGCCACAGTGCTGGAGTGCCACAGCCTGTCCGCCCCCTCCGACCGCCTAGTGCCATCAGCACTGCTAGTTGAAGGGACTTACTCTAAACATTTGGTACAAGGACATCAGAGAAGCTGATAGTCACAAAACCAGCATAGCAAGTCACTGCCTTTTAAAGAAAGACTCATGTTTCTGGT